AACCGGCGACCTTCTGGTTACAGATACGCTTCCCAACCCCCTGAGCCACGGTCGCCCCTATAGTATGGTAACCAACCATTGGGATAATAGCATTACTTCAAGTCTAGGTTTAGTTATAGCCTTTCCTCACTCATCAGTTTATCTCACCTTCGACAGCATTTTAATTTAATTTTCAAAGTCCAGTCATAATTTATATGGCCACAAAAGGTCAATATCATGAAAACAGAGACAAAACTTCTTCAAGAAACTGCTATGTTAAGTGTGTCCTTAATGTCTTTGTCTGTTTTTATTATGACATTTCAAGGGCAAGCATGTTTAATATATACCGAAAATAGTCAGATAATGAAGACCTCAAGAACTCAATACATGTTTATATGAAATATAAGCAGTATACAAAACGGAAGGGACTATGTTGGACATAATTTACACCTCGAATGAAATTAGCCCAGGCAATAATCTGTTCTGTTAAAAAGCAACTTACTTACATTTAATAGAAAATGAAGTTATACCAGAGGTAACGTTAAGAGTGATCATTTTCACATTTCCATCAGTGAAGGATGCGTTTTATTTTGCTGTTACTCGTTCATTTGACTGTAACACCATGAGAATATAATGAAAATTAACATGTGCTTAAGGTGAAAATGATACGAGTTCATAAGAAGAAATGGAAGCAGATGCCTTTATATCTTCAACAACCCTGTGTTTATCACAGTTTGGGCATTTTTCATATCGTATAAGAAGATTTTAAGCTAACCAGCTAGCTTCTAACCAGCAGCACAAACATCAGCTCTCTTGTGAAAAAAATAGCATACCAGAGTTCTTAAAAGCATACACTATACATAACAAGAATCACAATAATACTGCAATTAATATCGCTAATAGTATTCTTATTAGTATCATTATTAAACACTAAATGCAGCAGTCACAAAGCTTCAGACTGAAAATTTCATCAAAGGAAAAACTTAAAGTGACATGCAAACTTTCTTCACTCCATCCTCTTCCATCGTCTTTGTTGCCATCCTTTAGTGCAGTATATTTATTAAAACAAAAAGTTTTTCTTCACAGTTTCTTTTTTTTGTCCAGTTCACAGCAGTGAGAACTCCTACTGGCTCAGGTTTCAGTATCAGCAGCTTCCATTGACTGAGCATAAAGAACTCTGATTGGGTCTCAGTCTGTTTGGCACATCATCCAATTGACTTCAGAACTCTTATGAGAATACTATGCAGGTGCACATGCAAATGTGAAAATATATGTCAATGTATAAGCAAGGTGTGTTTGTGTTTACGCTGCAGTTGTGATGTGCTGACCTAGAAAGAGGGATGGGAACATATACTTCTCATATATTCTAAATATTTACAGAACCATATAATTAAAGGGAGCAAATTTAGTCCACCTCAGTTTGTGAAAACAGTATCTGGGGCTCTAAATAAAAGCTTTCATCCACGCGTCCATTTTCTTCCGCTTTTCCAGTTCGGGGGGTGGGGGGTGAGCCTATCCCAACTGCCATAGGGTGAGAGCAAGATGTAATTTACACACACATTTTTTGTTTAGATCTTTGAATGCAAGCGTTCTGATTCTGTTTTGAATAAATTATTTTTTTGTCTAATAGTCTTTTTTTCTTTAAAGAAAATAGAGCGCGTCTTTAAAATTAAATGCAATTTTTAAATTCTAGATCTAGATAATAGACCATTTACTACACTACAGCAGCCAACAGAAAGTGATTGTTTATAATATGGCACTGATATGAGTAACATTAGCCTATTTTGCTGCCAGTGGGTTGCACTTTATTGTGCCTTTCAATTTTATATCAGCAAGTTCAAATTGTGAATATACAGTCATAGATGCCATGCAAAACCAAATTACCAAGAAAGATCTGTGAAAAAAGGAGTGGTTTCTACAAGAATAGAAGAATAAAAACTGGTTTTTAACTGGTTTCAGATCAGTTTTTAAAAAATGATTATATTACAAACAAAGCTGACATGTGTAGGGTGTTACCAATTAATTGGGATTCATGAAATAGCCCTATTGAATGCCTTATGAATGTGTGTTTCTGTTTTTAGAGCTTATTAAGGAATTTTAAATATCTTCACTTTGTGGAAGTGCAACAAAAAATGATTAAAGTACCCCTTCAGTGTCTTCATGACAAATGACTGCCAATAGCTGCCAAACAGCTACACAATTTATGCGACTTGTCTGTGTATTTTTTAGTCCCTGTTAGTGTCCATATTCAGTAAGGATACCAGTATATTAAATAACTGCACAAACTTAAAGTTGCTATTTTCTGTGTATTTATTTATGGATAAAACCAATAATCTTTAGATAAGCACTAAAACTAACCTGGGGCTGATGCTTCACAGAACTCTAAAACTCAATCTGACCTTTTGATCGTTTTAATTCACCTTCACTTAGCTGATTTTAATTCACGCCTATGTTTGTGTGTGTTTTCCCGTTATTTGACCCAGCTCCGAGTGTATACCACCTATCTCAGTCTTTAACTTGCTGGGACACCTTGCATTGCAGTTTGCTTCTGCTAACATACATTTTTCTTTCTTATCACCAACGAGTAAAACTTCCCTCACTAACCACACCGTGTGATTTGTCCATAACCAGGGTTGAATCTCCATCTAGTTTTCCTAACTCTATTTTGTGTATATAATAATGGTTAAATCTGGCTAAATCTATGATCCTGTAGTTAACAGTACAGCATGAAAAACGAGGAATGTAAAAACTGCCAATGTGCTGTTTACACAAGGTGTTAAAATATATTTAACGGATTCAACATGAGTTATTATTTCTATTTTATAATTTCATATGCTGATCATTAAACGTTTAGAGCTGTGTGTCACACAGTCAAACATAAATCACTGTTAAGCTATTGCCCAATGAACAAGAGGAAAATGTAAACATATTTACAGTAATTCTGCAAAGACTATAAAATATTCATGTTACCAAGAATCCAATTAAAATTTTAATTGGATTAAACACTAAATATTTTTTGTTTAATTATTTAACATATCTTGGAGTGGACAACATTTCATGAAATGTATTATAAACATTAGTAATTGCTTCATTTTAATCGTAAAACTGATGAGTGGTCAGTTTGAGGGATATTCAGTTTCTCAGATTGCATTTGTTGATGCTTTCGGTATCACACCTTGCTCAGGTACTTTTTAACCCATTTCAGCCCATCCCTGCATAAAATTTGTATGTTTCTGTAGTGTTGTGTTGTAGAAGTGTTTATACTGTGTACCTGTGGTTGCCAGTCCATGCATCCCTTAATCTGGTAAAAGTTTCCACTCATTAGGGATTTTCAGGGAAAAATAAGGAGAAAAAATAGGAACAATAGCAATATCATTATCTGCTACCACAATTACTAATATTTTATGGATGTGATATTTCATTTCATCAGTCTGCTTTTATAACTCCTGATCACATCCCTGATTAATATTGTTATTGCGTTAGCATCATTGTTTCTTGTTGTCTGTACAAGAGGGGGAAAATCCATTAAATAATGATGTGTATTTGATTAGAAAACTGTCCACTGTGCTTGATTGCTTTTCATGAATTTGTATATGAGCAGCCATTCTTCTCACTGATGGTCAAGTGACTCTCTTCGTTGATGGGCAGGTCATTGCTGAAGCCTGACAGCCAAGTGGTGGGTAGACATCAGTCCAGTCTTTCTAGCTGTAAGGCACTGGCTTGGATGTAGTCAGGAGAGATCAGTCATGCTGAGACTCATGGGTAATCCAGGACGGAGGTAAGCCACTGGAACACGACCATTCTCGCTGGTTGATCCTGTGATAGACAGACGAGCTTTGGAGCGCATTGCATCCGTGAATTTCATCTGTATAAGGACAAAAACACGTTAGCCACATTTTCATCAATGACACGTAACTTAAAGCTGCATAGACAGGGTTAGAATCACCAGTTAACCAGAGTACTGGGAGGAATCCGCCACTGTACTTCATAGGCACTGGACTGCTTGAATCTTTTTTTGTTGCACTCACCAAACCCTTTAAGTTCCCCACTTATATACCTAATTTCATTTTTCAATCCTTTATTCACAGGTAATACTGTACAGCTGCTAACATAGCCTTTTTTAAGAGAACGTGCTTTCTCCTGGAAACCCTTTTAACCTCTTAAGCCCCAAGCCTACCTGATCTCCTGCCTTTTGCCCCCATATCAGGGGGCGTTGGGGCGTAAGAGGTTAAGCCTCCTATTTCTTTAAACTTTAATATTTAACATACTAACTGAGGCATGTAGAATTGTGCTATCGCTGGTACTACCTGCTGGACATTGTTGATCAAGGGTCCAATACTAGCTGATATGACTGATATGACTGATTACAACAACCGTGTGAACAGCCTATTACACTTTCTTATATAACAACTATTGTTGGGGTACCAGGGAGTGCTATTGGCTGTATTGGCTTTAGAGAGCAGCCGGACTGTCACTGAACCAGTGACTTTGTCCTAGAGCCCCCCAGGGGGTCCAGACCTGGATGTAGCATTAGGAGGGAGCTGCTGAAGTTAAGGAAAGACTGTTGGACAGCTGTGCATTCAGCTGTTGCGAAACAAGAAGGAGCTGGGCTTTGAAACAGCTGCTGGACTAGACGTGGGCAGAGCATAGATTGTGCTTTTTGACTGTTTTATTGAGATTTTAGAATATCCCCTCATCTGCTTTTTTTTTCTTTTTTACAGTAATATTTAACAATTTTTATCACTCTTGTTCCTATTATTATTTCAGGTGCAGAGGTACTTCCAATTTCTACTTGTGTTTTTATTTGTGGGGGAAAATTTCTTTGCCCCAATGTCTGTCTTTGCGCTCCTATAGGCTCTTTCAAACATAGGAGGCATTGTTTTTGAGCATAATCTGCTACTTAGCTTGACCTTACCTTTAAGGTAAGGCTGGTACACATATGAACAAATCTGTGTGTAGCTCGTGTGTCTGAATGTTTTTACACAAGTACAGAAGTCCTTCAGACCATGTACGTGAACAAATGATAACCTGGTTGTCTTTTAGAATTTAATCACAAGGCTGAAATGAGTGCTTCTGCTACGACTAATTGTTATTATTGATTTCCCAAAACATTGTATGCCACAAAACCCTCAGAATTACAATGACAATTATTATGGCTTCAACATTTTAATAAGCACTTTGAGCGCTTATATAGATACAGCAGAAAAGCATTACACGAGAACCAGTCCATTTACTTGAGCCAGGGTGTCTCAGGGGAAACAATATTCAGCAACCTGTTGTTTGAGCTGGAGCCTCACTTTTTGATTTGTTTATTTATTTTAAAGTGGTCTTTACTCCTGTGGACACATTCTGAAAAGCAGCCTTTTTTTCTGGCTTGCTCCTTGGACCTCGGACACTATTTTAAGTTTCTTTCACTTCGTTTTTGCTTTAAACAGCTTCTTTCTTACATATTTACCACTCTCTCCACTTCACCTCCAGGTAACCTTATTTCCTTGTGTAGCAAAATAGGGGTGTGCTGTATGCAGCCCACTGACTGCTAATATGAGTCTAACTTAGCCTGATGCACAGCTGGACTGGCCACCCAGTGGGCTGATTTTTTGTTTTTATAGGCCGATGTTTTGGGGTTTTTTTGTTTTTGTTTTTTGTAACGGTATAAACAATGAAAGGTGGTGGATTGGCCAGTTGGTCATGATCGACTCCGGGCTGGACCATTTACCGCCGAGGAGGTCAAATGCGCCCTCCCCATTGCTTGGGCAACGGCTCTGAAAGCAATCTTATCACAGACAAACAGAAAATGGTACTGAGGTCAAAAGGAACGTGATTTGTCCTGTACTTCAGCTAAAATGAAACAAGCACACAAAGCTGGAGTTATTCTGTGTGTTTACGCTGCACAGCTGCTTCTTCTTCTTCTCTCATTCTCTCCCCCTCCCTCTCCTGTTGCTACTTCAATCATGAAACTGATCAATCATCAGCTGATCCCGTCTCTCTTGTTTGTTTATCGCCCACTTTGAGCCAGAAAGAGGAAACCAGCGGATGTTGCACTAAACAACAGCAACAACATGAAGATCAAACCAGGAGATGTCCTTACATCAGAGCTGAACAGGTGATGGAGAAACAGGTTTACCTTTAGGTGACATGAATGAGTTGAAATTATGAACTGAGAGACAAATAACACCAGGATCCTTTTCTATGTAGCTGACAGCTGGTAACTGTGCAGGGGCAGGTCTAGCAAAGTTTTGTCAGGGGGGCCAGGTAGGGCATTAACAGGGAAAGGGGGGCACAAAGAAATACTTTTCTTTCTTATTCTCGTCTAGCTTTTAATAAATAATTATCTCAATCTTACAACCAAAGTGGTCCTCTGATGTAAAATCTTATAGAAATCATACATATATATACCAACAAGACAGTGTACATCACTGTAACAACAGCGTTTGTTTTCATTCAAAGGCTGTTTAGCTTTTCATATAACACTTTTTGCCCCAGACCAGCCACCGTCTGGTTAAGGCGGTTACACTTTCTGGTGATCGTGTAATCAAGCATATTTGATTAGCAGTAGCTGGCTGCCTTTAAAGTTTGCTTCAATTTCTGTGAATATAATACAAATATACTATATAAATAAAACCCAATTTTGAAAAAAAAATGTAAATAAAACAGAATGCAATGATCTGCAAATCTTAAAGCCACATTTTATTGATAATGCAACAAGAAAACATTTTTAGATGTTTAGTTTAATGACACATCTCAGAGTTGGGTAGCATGCCTGTAGGTTCTAACTGTATGTAAATATCTGGGAACTGAGGAGAACAGCTGCTGGACTTTTGAGAGAGAAATGTTGTCTCATTCTCGTCTGATTGTAGGTGCTCAACAGTCCTGGGTCATCTTTGTCATATTCTTTTTCATTTATGGCACACCAAATGCTTTGTATTGGTAAAAGCTCTGGACTGCAGCTAGGCCAGTTCAGCACCTGGACTCTTCCTCTACGAAGCCATGGTGTTGTAGTAGCTGCAATTCAAGACTGTACATACTTTTCAATACTGATGGTACCTTTCCTTCCCAGGTATGCAAGCTGCCAATTACATAGCCAGTAATCCAGCTCCAATCATCATTTTCTTCATGATACAGCTTTAACCTGCATTTTTGCAATGTACTGTGAACTGTATTCACTAATAGTGATTTCTGTAAATGTCTGTCAGTCTGAGGATGATGATCATCCAATATTGATTTCAGGTTCTTGTGCACAGAGGCTTCTCAATATTTTTTTGAAACTTTTAACGAAATTTACTGTAAATAATGAGATATTTAAGCTCTTTGCAATTTTACACTGAAGAACATTATTCTAAAATTGTCATACAATTTTACAAGTTTTTGTTTTTGATTTGTATTTTTGCAAACCTCTGATATCTTTCTTTCTGAGAAACTCTGCCTCTCTAAGATACTATTTATACCCAATCATGTGACCTGTTCGTTAACGTAATTAGCTGCAAAATGTTCCTCCTACTTTAAATACTTGATGTGTTTTCAGTGAGTGATTGAATAAAGTTGAGGTTTAATGATAACTGCATTCTGTATTTATTTATATTTCATATAGTGTTCCAGCTTTTCTTTGACACTGGGGTTGATAAGTGCTGTATAACACTCAATACAGCACTTGATATAAGATTTTCAAAAGACTGCATGAAATGATATGATTTTTTTTGCTTTTCTTAATATTATATATTGTATATACTGTATATAATTCCATTGATACATTGTATTAATGGATAGTGGCTGTAGGCCAGGAGGTAGAGTAAGTCAACTACTAATTATCTTCTATGGTTGGTGGTTTGATCCCTGGCTGCTCTTAAGTCTTCTTGCACAAGACACTAAACCTTAAGTTGCTCTCCAATGAATTTATCGGAGCATGAATGTTAGATAGAAAGCACTTAGGCATAGAAAAACGTGCTTATCTGAATGGCTAAATGAGGCATGTTGTAAAAAGCACTTTGATTGCTCAAGCAGAGTAGAAAATCACTATATAAGAACAAGTCCACTTACCATTAGGAAAGAAGCTATGTCAAACTTTAAGTATACTATAAAGAAAATAATTAGTGGCAGCAACTAACCCAGCCACCAGGGCACGTGTATGTGACGGGGTGAGGCCAAACCAGTGTCCTCCTAGTGTTGGTCCCAAACCCAGATAAATGGGGAGGGTTGCAGCAGGAAGGGTCTGCAATGTAAAATCTTTGCTAAATCAAACATATGGATCATCAAGAATGAGATTTCCATACAGGAACAGTCAGAGCCTGGCTTAACAGCGACTCCCTCCTGTGCTATCCGGTCTTTAAGTCTGTCATAGCCGTTTCCAGGTCCAAACTCCGCTTCAGGTCCCAAAGTCAAACTAACACTGCGGCATCACTTAAAGTTACGAACTGTCTAAATTCTTTCATCTATAATCAGTGATCAGCTGTACCAGATGTAACAATTAAGTTTAACATCCAGGAAAACAGAATTTATGAAATTTAATCGAGTTAGAAGTTAGCAGGAAGTTAGCTCGCTAGCTTCCACCTAAACATGATATAGCATGTTCTGACTGAGAGATTTCGGAAAAAATTGAAACGTACAGCTTTGCTATCACTTCCAACATAAATGAAGACAGAAAACTAAACAGCAGTGACATTTGTAGGGTTACTGAAGTTGGGCTAATTGGTATATAATGCTGTGCAACCTGATTGCTAGTGACCAGTGTTGGTCAAGTTACTTGAAAAAAGTAATCAGTAACTAATTACTGATTACTTCCCCCCAAAAGTAATCCCGTTACTTTACTGATTACTTATTTTCAAAAGTAATTAATTACTTAGTTACTTAGTTACTTTTTAAAAACACGAT